CCGCGCTTCATAAATTGAGCCCTGCGAAGTAATCAGGTACCAGTCAGATGAGTCAGTGATATTCGCAGATTGCTCCGATTGCCGATGTGTGGGCGCCGATGAAACATCGGTGTTTTGGTTTTGTAAAGATTTTTAAATACGCTGCAGCTCATAAATATACTCTTGCAATTGCTTCACTTCTATTGGCTCGCCATTATCGATGGGTAAAAGGGGCAGAGAACCGTTGAAGTTCACTGTCACTTCCCTTCCATTAAAGCTGCTGTTTTGTTGATCCTCTAAGAGTTGACGATTTTTCGTATGCAGCATGTTTCGAATATTGGACATGACATCATCGTAGAGAAGAGAACCGGCTGTAAATTGATTATAATTAGTTTTGTTTGCGCCCTCTATCAGCGCTAGATTTGTGCGTGCATTTTGTTTGTTTACATTTACGTCAGTGAATATTCTCCGCCTTTTATTTGCACTTTGGTTTCGACTGGGGGAGTGTCTCTGTTCCAATGGCTTCGTAGCATCAGATTTAGTTATACTCTTTAAAAAGCTCTTATTAGAGTTGTTGCTTTTTTCACTCAAGTCGACAACTTCGCCTTTATCAGGCAAATATAAGCTGGCATTTTTTAATAACTCATCTAAGTGCAGAAGTAACTTGGTTCCCTTTTGAATGTCCAAATTAGCATTTTTGAGGACGTCTAAGGCGGATGGTAGCTTGTCAGTCCTTCGAGCTCCTGCGAAAGACTCCGCATGAATAGGAATGTTACGTACTTCACGACGAACGCGGGGTTTTCGTAATTTATCGTCCATTATTTTATGATCAGTGGTTCGATAAAATTTGTTACGCTCGAAAGCTTGCCCAATAACTACTGTATGGGTTGCGAGCTTTTTTTGACGCTGGGTAACTCGATGCAAATGCTGTTTTTGTTGTGGTTGCTGCTGAAGCAGTCGCTCTGTTTTACGAACGGCCGCCAAAATTTCGCGCGGCAGTGGCAGCGGTGGCGACATCATTGCCAATGTCTGTGCTTCCTGTGGCACTAAGTCTATAGAGTCATCGTTGCTGAATACTGGTATGCCATTATGCGCGCGCGTATGAAGCAGTTTGACTGGTTGATTTACTTTTATGCCTCCTCCGATTTGTTGCTTCACTGGTTGCAGCTGTTTAACCGTAGACTCGGGCATTTTCTTCACTTTCGTTTTGAATTTCGATGCACTGAATATTTCGGCCGTGGCGGCTGTCATTGCCATTGGCTTTGGCAAACTGTAATGGTTCATCGACTCCACGCGAGTAATCCTTAGCTTTCGTGGGCTTTCCGTCTGACTTACGAGCCGTTTCAATAACTGAAATCGTTGCGGAGGCTCAATGATATGAATCACATCATCTGCGTCTTCATAAACATAGCCAATGTCTTGAAGGTGGGCCGGTACCCTATTTAAGGGTTGTTTCAGCTTTGGTGCGGATACACGGTAAGACGAGGGAGGAGGAGTTTTATTGAGCTCAGTTAATAGTTCATCCACTTTTCGAGTGCGGCACGAATGCAGCAGACAAAGAAGATTCAACGCAAATATACAAACAGAGTTTCGCATTGTCTTTGAGCACTGAAATTTTCACTTTTACCGTTACCTCAACATCTGCACTGCACATACGTTACACTTCGACTGCGCGATTTCGGTCTTGCATGGAATTTATAAAACGTTTTCGTGCATTTTCAGTTTCCCAATCACTGTCTAATTGACAAAAATGGTAACCAATGAATAGTGCGGCTACAGCCGGTTGCTTATAAACTGGCAAAGCGAGAGAAAATGCAGAGAAAATGCAGTGTGAAAATGTAGACTGAACACAAGATTGTCGAGGCAATAATGAAAAAACGGAAGTGCACTTTGTTCGTGGACTGCAAAGGCATTTTAAGTAAGCGCGCGAATGCTCTGCTTTACTTAAGCTGCGATAGGCTACATATGCCCACAGTAAAAATACGAAAGCGGCCTCAGTACACTCTAAAAAAAAAATTGTGTAGATTTCCTAGCTAAAAGGTAGGTTACTGATTTCCTACCTTATTATTCGCGAAATTACATACTCGATTGTTCAACGAATAGTTTGTTTAAATTTCGGACTTTTTAGTGTGTAATATAGCTGCTGTGGTGTGCGTAAATTTACTACGAAAGTGTGTAAAAGCTACAAAATACACATCTGCTGTTTGATTTCACCCGTAGAATTGGGTAAAGTCGCTAGCAAAAAGGATTTTTACACGCGAAAATGAGTAAACGAGAAAAATACATATTTATCGTGTAAATTTACAAAAAACTTTTAAAAATAAACAAAAATATACTCGATTTATAGTCGCATTTTTAAACAGATTTTTTAGAGTGTAGCGTGCTGAAAATTGTCCCGCTTACATGTACATATGTATGTACTAAATATGTATATATGTACACGAGAGTAGGAAGTTTTTGTCTACATGTTTGAGGTATCGTTGGTAAGTTCTTGCAGGGTGTGTGCAGAAATGTATTCAAGTTCTACAAACGATCCTCCGAATTCTTAATTTTTTTACTTTTGTCGATTTAAGGAATTATATGAGTACACCCGACACACTTAGTGTAGTTCAATACCTTTCCAATGATACTTTATACGAGAGCTTCCTAAAGTGCGTTCCGCGGAACCCAAGTCACAAGGGTTCCGTGAAATGATTAATTTTGGCTGTTAAAATTCGGCATTGATAAACTCGGCGGTCGGCAGTTGGTTTGAGGTACACCCATAGTATACATACTAGGCGGCCGCTGTGGTGTAGTGGTAAGCAGTGCGCGCTTTCACTCATCAGCATCTGGGTTCAAGCCCTGGTGAAAGCAACATCGCAAAAAATATAGAAAAAGGTTTTTTCTTAACAGCGGCCGTCCCTCGGCAGGCAATGGCAAACCTCTGCCATGAAAAACAGCTTCTCCTTAAAATACAATCGCCGTTCGGAGTCGGCGTAAAACTGTAGGTCCCTCCGCTTTGTGTGACAACATCAAAGCGCACACCACTAGTCGGAGGAGAAGCTCGGCCAAACACTAACATATATGTAAGCGCCAATCTATTACTATTATGATACGTACTAGGGATATTTCGAATGTCATATTTTTCACATTCGCGAATGTCCCCCCTTACAGCTATATAACGAAGGAGAAAATTTCAAAAATCAATAAATAAAAAATACAAAGTTTTATGCGTAATCGAATTCGTAATTATGCTCTCCATTTCCACAAAAGGCCTGCGTTTTTAATCATGGATCCAATGAAGTAAGGATAGCGTTAAGCATTGAATTGGTACAGAATTGAATGAAACACCCATTTGAGTTTCTCTTACCATTCTGTGATGAACAGGATGGAGAACCCAACGAGAAAAACACCTCTTCTGTTAAATCTTGTTGTGAATGACTCAAACGAGGTTCCAGAAATAAGAATTATTATTTATACCCTAAAAGATGTGACAAACTTTTTTTTTGCGAATCAACGACACGCAAGAATTATTATCCTAATATATCATGTTTGTATGAAACAAGATGGTCGGCAAAATATAAGGCTATCAGGAAATTTTCCTGAAGTTGTGCAAGCTTTAGAATAGTTGTCAATTCAGGGAAACTTTTTCACAAGAAAGCCTGCGTATCAATTGTGTGCTGCTATAATAAGGCCGATGTTCATCATTGCTTTAATGATAATTGCTAAATATTCAACGTTGCTAGAACCTACAGTAAACAATTTGCAAATGAAGACAATAACTAGAGCTCATCGCCATTGGTCAGCATATTGAAAATATTTTAGAGGTGGTTAAGAATGATCGCAAGGATGGAGAAGGAGTCACTACGGAGTTAATTGAAAAATCCCGTATGATTACAGCCGATCTAGGAGTTGGCGACGGTCTATAATAAAATGGTATCTGGATTCACTAACGGCCTCTTTACAACTACGCCTTTCCAATGAAAATACTCCAGGTTTTCCGCTGTCTAGATTGCACCCATTGTATTCGACTAAAGCTCTACTCAGAATTGCAGCGGGCGACGGTAAAGCGGTCGACGGTTAACCACTGTCAAAATTAAAACTCACAACGGCATATGGAATGGTCCATAAGTGCGGCGGCAGCGTTTTTCCACCGACGTTTTTCGGTTGATTTAAATTTATTTATATTTTCACCGCCCAGCAGGGACGGTTGATTGTAGTAATTTATATTATTTTCACAAGTTTGCTAATGTTTTCATCCATATTTCCAGAAAGTCTATGTACACACACGCACGTGCGGAAAAAATATTTAATTTTAATGATAATTTTCAAATCAAAATGGCAACTGACGGAAGCCGTCGTGCGCCGCAATTGTGTTTACTCTGACAGATTTCACTGCGACAACTGTTCAGCTGTTCACTTACCGCAGATCGCTTTACCGACGTCCGCTGTAATTCTGGGCAGAGCTTAATTGTTCCAGTGAAAAGTTACAAAAGAACGCGAAGCATTTTCAACAGATCTATGATCAAGATATGGGCAGTGAACTCAGTCTTTGGTACAATTACATTACATTACAATTACCCGTTACATAATATCCTGGCTACGCCCTTGCAAATTATTAAAAAGTGATTAATAAATATTGGCGTTTAAGATTTTTATTATTATTTAGATGTATATTTCTTTCTTCACGTATATAACAATTTTAGGTTGAATTTCGAGTGCACCAATAAAACTTGTAAAAATAGAAGTTTAGTTTAGTTTAGTTTAGTTTTAAGATTTTGAAGTAACTTAAATTATTAATATAAAAAAAAATCTTAAAATTTAAAAAATTACAAAATGGCTGCGACAGATATTCTGCATGCTGCCATTTTTTTTTCGTGGTGCACTCTTGTCACTTCACAGATATGTTGTATTTGATGCCTACGTCCATTGCTTCAAACACTAACATTCTATTTGAAAAATTACCAAAGTTATTAAACGATTCTTTCTTATGATTTCTTCGAGTGACAATGAAAAAATTAGTAATTTCGGCACTTTTTTGCTTAAAAAAACGTTTTAAAGTTAAAATTGTTCAAATATTTGATAACAGGTTAAAATATGGTCATGTATATGTATGTAGCAGGAATTGGCAAGAGGGGTATATAAAAGGACTTCCAATTCTTTATTTACACCTAAATGGGGGTAGGCAATTCAGAACACAGGACACACGAGAACTACACTCTAGAAGTCACGCCTTTACACGTTGGCGACGACGAGTACCGCAGACGAGGAACGATGAGCTGTATGAGCTTTACAATGACATAGACTTAGTGCAGCGAATTAAAATACAGCGGCTCCGCTGGCTTGGCCATGTCGTTCGAATGGACTCAAACGCTCCAGCTCTGAAAGGATTCGACTCGTAACCCGCTGGCGGTAGCAGAGGAAGAAGCAGGACTTAACTTCACTTGACATTTCCAATTGGCGTCAGTTGGCACGGAAGAGAAACGACTGGCGTGTTTTGTTGAACTCGGCCAAAATCGCTTAGGCGGTTACAGCGCCAAATAAGAAAAAGAAGAAGAAACTGGGTTTTACTGGGCCAATCACTTGGCAAAAGTGTAAGCGCCAAAATATTATTATTATTGTCACTATTATTATTACCGACGGGTGGCAACTCTGTTCTAAACAAAATTCTTTTCATTATATTTCGTTTGACATTCATGCTGTAATTAAATTTATATACACTTTTAAACAGGTGGCAACCCCTTTTAAAACTTATTCGAAATTAAGTGTTCTTGAACAAACGTCTTTTGTTTGATTTGACATCATTTTTTAATGTTTCATTTAGCTTAGTGATTTAATTTAAATTGACTTTCAACATTTGTTGGTCTCTCAGACCACGACACAATTTGTAGACTAAAATTTGTATTTCGTTTACGTGCCATTAAATTTCATTCTATCCACGAATAGCTTTTACCGAGTCTGCAATGAGTTGGTTACCGTAGCGAGCAAACGTGTGGGATAAAAAGCGCGGTAGTAATTGCTCGCGCGTGGTCTATCTATTGAATTATATCTGTCGGATAATCTGAAAGAATTTCGAGCAGTACTGGTATTTTTACTGATGCCTGAAATTAATAACAAACATTATTGTAAAGACTTATAATATTTGTTGCTTGTTTTTATAGCGAAATAAGAAATCAGCGTTGAAAAGCCAAGAAAAATTCCTTACTAAGAACATTCCCTCGTTTCTAGTAATTGCGAAAGTTGCTAAATTTTTTATTTACTTTTGCTAATGTAAATTAGTTTCATTGTAAAACTGTGTTTTTCTTACAAAAAATTAATCACATTTTGCTTTTTGTTTTTGTTCTTAACAAGTGTTTTGCAGATGCCGCTGATAAAATTTAAATAATAATTTCTCTATAATTGTTTTTGGTGAAACGATATACATATATTTTTATTACTTAACAGTAAAGTTTGCGTGGTCGCACAGACCAACATCAGTAGTTATGTGTCTTTGTCTAAGCACAGTCATTGAGGGTTAAAAATATTTTCGAAACAAAACTTTCTCATACCTGTTTCGATATCTTCTTATTCTTATTGACAGCTGTAACCGCTTAAACGATTTTGGCCGAGTTCAACAAAGCATGACGGAGTTTTTCTTCTCTGCCAACTGACGCCAATGGTGGACGCCTGTTTCGATTTAACTTATGAAAAATTTGGATTTGACTTTCAAACAGATGATAAGGATTTTTAAAATTACGGATGTGCCGGGTATCCGGT